GGCTGTAGTCCCGCGCTGGCAATGTACATGAGCATCGGTAAGTCAGTTTTAAGCTGCCTTTGTGTTTCCGTACGTTAAGAAAACATGCTTTTTCAAAAGCGACATTATTTATTGTGAGGGACCGTATTTTTCCTGTTACACAAGCAGGAGATCAAAGCTCACCTCTCTGCAGCGCCAGTTTAATCATTTCTCCTCGTCACCAGGATATAAACAGCTGTGAGATCCAGAAGAAGAACTGCACGTGGCTCATGGTAACGCATGAAGCGTGCACCAAAGGCGATGTGGTAAGAGGACAACACGACACAACTTGTATTTATTTAATGTAACGTGTCCGGTGTCATGGAAAACACATCATGTAAAATACAAAGAAATTTCTAGGTTCTTTATTCCTGTTACTGAGATGAATTGACACCTAATTTCAAAATAAACTTTCTTCTAGGCGTTCTACTTAATGAATTCTTAAGACCTGTTTTGAAGGGAATACTTTTAAGCTCAATACCAAATTCTCTGTATAGTTCTAAATGCCGCTAATGTGAAACTTGAATAATTTCTTGCTGTCTGGAGTCACATAATTGCCACACCACGATAGCTCAACAAGAAGTCAGTAATTACTATTGCTTCTACAGCAGAAGGCTGTCTTTCAAAAAATGATTTCTGAAAATACGAGATACAGTGATTCTGTCTCTTATATTCTCTTATATTCTCTTATATTCTCTTATATTCTCTTATATTCTCTTATATTCTCATTATTCAGAACAAGCAGAAATAATGCTTTTGTAAGCAAACGTTCTTCCTTTCCTGAAATACTACTGTTAGGATAACAATGTATTTTTTCATTTCTGCAGCTTTATATCTGCTCTTTGTTTTCCTTTCTTGTTGGACTGCCACCAAGGTATGCAGTGGAGACTAGATTTGATTTAAAAGCCTTCCTGTCCAAAAGTAATAGAAGCTTAATTTCTGTACAATACTTGACTTGCTGGTCTTTGGACAGTGATGACCTGGTCATTAGCAGACTACGATGGGCTAAATGAAAACAGTATGTTCCATGTTAGTTCTGAAGCAGCAATTGCTGTATGAAGCTAGTAAAAGTTCCGTGTCAGGCAGCATCTGAGGTGATGCTTACTCAAGCAGCAACGCTCCTGCAGGACAATGTGGCTTTTATCCTGTTCTCCAACAGTTGGAGCCTGACGTACACATTAATGCAGTAACTGTAATACCTCTTTCAGAACGGGTCAGTTGTGATTAACAAATATTTTGTGGTGTCCTCATTAACTGTTTCATAAGCTGCAGCCATTCTTGCTTTGTTGTTTTGGTCAGCAATTCCTGAAGCAACCAAAATTAATTCCTTTGTTTCCATTAAATGTAGATGTGTTCAGGTAAGCATGCCAATGAGCATGTTCATTTTGTACGGAATAACTCCTTCAAGACAGTTAAAACTGTCTTGAGTTAAAAAAAAAAAACAACTGTCTTGAATTTAAAACTGTCTTGAGCCCAGCTTGCTGTGCTAACAGCCTTTAATTTACAGAGACCTGAAACTAGTGTAACAGTGAATCTCTTGTACTGCATTTTAATTTGGTATCTTAATATCCCCTAAAATTAAAAAAAAAAAAAAAAATTACATCTAGTGGGATTTTTTTAGTATGCTTTCAAAATAGTCTGCTCTCTGCACACATCTCTTTGCTTTGTCTGTCACAAAAAAGAAGCAGTTACAAGGGCAAAATTCTCTCACTCAATTCATAGGTCACTTTACCATATGCATACATTCTCACACATGCACAAAAAAAACATCTCCCTCAAAATATTTGGCTTTGCTAGCATTTGTTCTAGCAAACCAGAGCTCACCGAACTTTCCATCAGCAAATTTCAGGCGGAGTAGGACACAGTGGGTTGTTGCTGACTCTTATGGGAGGAAATACTCTGATTTTTCATGTTCCCTTTAACAGGTAGATGGGACTGGTTTTTTAATCAATAAAATGCAAGTGTAAGAAAAATATCTTTGATTAATTTTTAAACTACTATACTCTAATGTATGATAAAGCTTTGCTAATGTAGTGTTTAGGAAATGAGAAGGGAAGGCAGGATCTTGCATGCTGAGTGTTGCGCTTTTCGGCTGTCAGACCATTTGTATATTAACCTCAACAGTATGAATATAGGCTATTTGTTTTGTAATCTGTTTTTATCCCTTTATCCTTCCAGTGCCTAGAGAAAAAGCATCATGTGTTATGAAGTACCTCTTTGCAAGGTTACTGACATGACACAAATATAATCTCATAACTACACAGTAGTGTAAAACTGAAATGGTGTACTTTTTCCTTGACATACTGTTGGTGTGAATCTCAGCCACCTTCAACTTTGGATTTTTGGTTGTATGTACAGCAGAATTTGGCCAGCTGCCGTTTAATGCCTTGAGACGTGTGTGTGCAGAGCGTTTGCTTCCACCAGGACCTATGCACACGTAGTTCTGTCCACACGTCTATACGGACAGACCTGTAAGGTATGGCGTCAGCTGCTGGTTTTGCACACTGCTGACAAATACCTAGCTGGAGTGTCTGTGCAGCATGTCTCATGAGTGAGGTGTCACCGCACCCCTTTCTCCAGAGCAGGGTTTGCCCAACGCAGTGGGCTGTGCACTGCCCTCGTCAGACTGTAACTTACACCCGAGCCAGTAACGTGAGCATGGCTGCGCAGCGCCGCAGTGAAAGCGTTTGCTGTAGTACCAGCGTATGCTGCTCTTAGGACAAGGGCTGCGTTCTGCGTTGCTGTAAATGTGCTGCCATGGTCAGTCATTAAACACCGTCAGTTGTTTTCTGCTTCGTATTGCTTTGTGTGAGCTTTTTTGACGTATCGCCAACAGGTACTTTCACGATAGTGATTAGACTTTGACTCTTTAGAGATGGGGGGGCCTAATCCTATTCCCATCGGGTGTTTTCCCATCAGCTTCACTGGGAGCAAAGCAGGGCCTCAGGCTTCATAGACTTAATAGAAGATTACTGTCGGTATTTCCCTATTTGATTGAGTTTGCAGGAAATTAATGATTTAGATGCAGTAAGACAATTAAAAAAACCTTTACTGAAAATATTTTGTTTCATTATTAAGCTTTTTGAGGTACTGCAAGACAGCTTTGAGGCAGTGCTAACATCTATAGGTGTGTAACTTTCTTAACTAGTTGTATTCTCGCTGAAAAGCTGCCTCTAGAGTATCTGGTAAATTACTTAGCCTTTTCAGAGAAACAGAAACCCTCAAAAACACCCTCACTGGTATCACACACGCTGACTGCAGCTAATAATGTGTTCTCTGTTATAATCCTTGTCTCGAAGACAAGTCTGTCTAACTTGGCTTCCAGCCACGATGGGTGCCGATGGCTTTGCTGAAGCAGACACTGTGCTGCTCAGATGGCCAGAACAGAGCTCGCAAACATGGGAGAGCGTCTGAAAAGGGATCACGGAAACACGCCTGAAAAGGGGACGCACGCGTCCGAGGCACGTCCCAGCCCACGTTAGGCACCGTGAATGCCGACTGCTGCGTGTGCATGTGTGTGTTCCTGCTGA